CTGTAGCTTCCCTGGCCCCACCATGGGGGGGAAGACTAAAACCCCCTAACTGAATAGCCCTCGACCTGAACGCACTCCTTAGGTTTTGGGCACAAAGGAGGGGTTCGGTCTGAGTGTCGCGCCGCTCCGGTCACCCCGAATCAGTAAACAGCTCGGGTGCACCGACAGAGCATTTAACTCGGACACCCTTTTGGCTGATGTTATGGCAAGAAGCAAAGCTGTTTTCCACGACAATGCTTTCAGAGAGGAGAGCTCCAGAGGCTCAAACGGCCCCGAGGCCAGAGCCTCGAGCACTAGGGGCAGGTCCCACTGTGGGGTGGAGGCGTGCACTACTGGGCGCAGCCTCCTGACCCCCTGTAAAAAACGCGACATCAGTGGTTGACTAAAGGCTGACCTGCCGCCAAATCCCTCATGGCAGGACGAGATGGCTGCTGCATACACTTTTATAGTAGAATGAGCTAGTCCTCTGTCCACCAGTAACTGTAAGAAGGAAAAAATAGAGCCTAACTCACAAGATAGGGGCTCTATTCTCCGCTCCTCACACCATCGCTGGAATCCTAGCCACCTCGGCCTGTAACAGGCTGTGGTGGATCCAGCTCTAGCTGCCTGGATAGACTGAATAACACTGTCAGACAATCCACCCTGTCTCAGCCTGTCCCTCTCAGGAGCCAAGCCTGGAGAGGACGGCCCAGAGTGGGTAACGCCCCGATTGCACCTGCCTCTTGAGACATTGCCCCCCAGAACTGGGGAACTGGCCCACCTTCATCTGTGTCATCTCTGAGTACCACGGCGCCCTGACGCGGTCCGGAGCCAGTAGGATGACTGACAGACGTTCTCGCCTCACTCTCCCCAGGAGAGGGAGAACGAGAAGCAGCAGTGGAAAGGCGTATAGCAGCTTCCTTGGCCATGGCTCGTGTGCAAACGCGTCCACCCCCAAGGGCGGGTCGTCGCCCAGGGCCATGGAGAACCACAGGGCACAGTGGTTGTTGCGCCGGCTGGCGAACAGATCCACTTCCGCTCTCCTGAACTGGGCCCAGATCTGCTTCACCACCTCCGGGTGAAGCGTCCATTCGCCTGGCAGGGGGCCGCCCCTCGACATGAGGGGGGCCCCCCTGTTCTCCAGTCCCGGGATATGGAGGGCTCTCAGGGCTAACACCACCTCTGAAGCCCATAACCACAGCCTCTCCGCTGTGGTCAACAAGGCGGCGGAGCGGACTCCGCTCTGCCTGTTGATATAAGCCACTGTGGTGCTGTTGTCGCTCCTGACCATTACATGTCTCCCTTGAGGGCCCCTTTAGGGGCATGAAATGCTGGAGGACTAACACTACCGCCCGTAGCTCTAGGAGGTTGCTGTGTCGAAACTCTGTTAGAGCCCAGCGCCCACCTATAGCCCTCTTCAGGCAGGTCCCTCCCTGTTCTGGATGCGTCCGTGAACACTGTGATGTAGGAGGTCACCCGTCCCAGTGGAGACCCCCTCCGGAGGTGATCCGGGGACCCCCAAAACCAGAGGTTGCCCTCCACTGAGGAGGGGGATGGTCATCAGCCGCTGTTTGTGCCTCTTGGGATCCAAACGCAGGCTGGACAACCACCTCTGCAGGCGGCGCATTTGCAGTAACCCCAGCGGGACCACAATGTGAGTAGCCGCCATGAGACCCAGAGTCTGCATGACAGTTAAAGCTGTCACTGTCGCCCCTGTCGCAGCCTGTGAACCGCCCGGAGAAAGGACGCACTTCTGCTCTCTGACAGGGTGGTGGGTAGCACGCCTGCATCGAGCACCACTCCCAACTACAACGCCTGTTGGTGAGGTATGGGGGTGCTCTTTTTTCAATTGATCGCAAAGCCTAATTTGGTTAGGTGTGTGATCAATTGTGCTGTGCAAAACATTGCCTGTTCCCATGACCCAGCCATGACTATGAGGTAGTCTAGTAAAATAAAACTCTCATGCCGTGGGCGCGCAGCGGTTGAAGTGCTGTGGCCACACATTTGCTGATTGTGCATGGGGATAGGGAATAGCCGAACGGCAGCCTGTTGTACTTGTAGGCTATTCCCTGGAAGGCAAAACGCAGACACTTTCTGTGCTCTGGAGCAATTTCTACATGAAAGTACGCATCTTTCAGGTCGATGGTGGTGAACCAATCGCCTGGCTGCACAAGCCCCAGTAACTGTTTCATAGTTAACATGCGGAATTTCCTGCAGGAAATGTGGCGATTCAGGCCGCGGAGATCTAGAATAGGTCTGAATTCCTCTGTCCTCCTGAGAACCAGGAAGTACATGGAATAAAGACCCTTTTCTCTGTGCTGAGGGTGCACAACAGACACAGCCTGTTTCTGCACCAGAGCCTGAATCTCTGCTGGAAACACAATTCCTCCTGGGAGAACAGATTTACCTCTCGCATGCCCATAAAAAGAGGTGATTGTGGGAAACCCACAAGACAGTGGTCCATGTGATACAGTGGTACAGTGTATAGACATGTGGTACAGTGGGACGCTGCAAAACAGGAGTGAATAGCCCCGTTTCAGCGTCCTGTCCCTCCACCTTGTAAGCACACAGCTGAGTTTCCATTCCCCAGAACATTGTGTTAATGGACAGGCCCTCAGCTGTGGGGCAGCAGCTATGCAGCTGTGATACTCTCTGGTGACCCGTTCCGCCGCAAAACTCCCCTCGAAGGGAAGATTTGCCCATGGAGGGTTGACACAGAAAGGGCCGATTATTTACTGAGGACCCTGAACGCACCGCCGCGCGCTCTTGTGTGAGCGCGCGCTCCACCCTAATGCTGTTCTCACCACTACAGTAAACAGCATTAATCGGAGTCTTTATAGGCGTAGTGTGTTTTACTAAGGTCCCTGAACGCACCGCCACGCGCTCTTGTGTGAGTGCGGGCTCCGCCATAATGCCGCCTTTACCACTACGGTAAACTGCATTGGAGTCTTTGCTCTAGGCGTAGTGTGTTCTCTGACAGTAATACGCCGGCCATAATGTCCCTGTACCCGCATAGTGCTCTCCTTTAGATAGCACTCACTGCGGTTCATCCCTCTCATCTGCGCATGCCCACTAGCCACCTCCTTTACAGGAGCTACAGCTGGGGCAGCAAATGGGGAATTTGTACGGTTAACATTGTGTGTAAGTGTAGCCTTTGTGGAAACAAAAGACACTTAGATTTGGATACAGATCAACCTAATTTTTATTAGAAAACGTAGTGATCTGTGCATTATACAGGGAGGAGGCGGGATTCGCCCCCTCGTCCCGGGCGGAGAGATTTTCTCCCCCCGCCAGCCAGATCCGAAAGACGGAAAGCCCGTCCCCGTGAGTGCCGGCACGCCGGTTCCACGGGGTGGGCCGAAGAGGTGGAGGGCGCCGCGGGCACGGGATCTCCGGTACCTCTCCCTTTGTCTCACCTCTCTACTGAGGTATTTGAACGCACCGTGGCCCGCCCTCGGGGAAGGGGGCCGCGCGCGCCGTCACAATGCCGTCTCTTTGAAACGGACATTATGGGGAAAAGTGGAATTGTGGAGAGAAATTACTCTGGGATAAATGCAATAGTCTTTACTGAATGCATTTTTCCCACACACACACCTCACTCCAGAACTAGAGTTTACAAACGTAAACCACCGTTCTCCTGCGGGGGTCCATGAACGCACCGCGGCCACTCTGACGAGGGCCGCGCGCCCACGTATTAACACTGTATTTCCCATTGCAACGGTGAAATGCATTACTCGGAGCTATTATACCAGGCAAGTTGTGTTTTCTGACAACAGCATGCCGGCAATAGCATCTCTTGAACCCGCACAGTGCTTTGAAAGCACTCGGTTTATTCCACTCACGTGCACACGCCCACCTGCTGGCTCCCTATACTGGGGTTTACAGCAGGGGCGGGGAGTGTAGGACAGTGTTTCTTCCGCTGGGGATGGGCAAGAAGCAGCTATGCTGCGACTAATCCTTATCCCGTGAGCAAGGAGATCGATCCAAAGAGCCCTTCCGTAAACACGGGGGCTCCCAGGAGATCAACACGATCCTCTTTGGAAAGTGCCACGCGGCGTGATATCCCAGGGACATCACACAGCGGGCAGCGGTGGCGGCCTGTGATAAAGTAGGGTCGACCCTATATCACGTGAAGCCACCGAGCACCGGTCCCTGGGGGAACCGGGCCTGGGGCAAGGCCCGTGGATCAAGCTACTTATTCGGCCTTGCAGCCCAATAATCGCTCTGACCTGGTGAGGCGGGGGCATCTCTAGCAATAAGTGAGTAGCCCACACACCCGCCGCCACGATCATCACCCAGGGAGAGTACAGCCCTGGGCAGTGGACTTCCATGGACGCCAGGAATGTCGAACGTGAATGGCACCGCCTCGGCCATATCTTGGTCCCCAACCACTCGAAGCAAGGTTGTGGGGATCGGCGCCCGCTATTTCAGCGAGGGCACGAAGAACAGGCCCGGGTCTCTAGCAGTGGCGACTCCCTTGAGGTATGATAACTCTTTCTTCTTCTTTCAAACGTCTCAGTCTCTTGTGGAATCACTTCCGCTGCTGAAGAGAAAAGGATGATAGTCAGGAGGCGAGGCCTCCTTTTATACGGTGTGATGCGCGCGCATTCAGGTAGGCTACGTCTATTGAAGTCTCAGTGGGAAAATGCTTGCATAGAGGGTAGTACCCATAGAGTCCAGTAGAGGGCGGAGCCTGTGAGAGCTATAACGTCAACATAGGCCGAGTTGGGGGTGAGAATGTGTTGGTCACAGCAGCATGTTTGAATGTTTTGAAATAGAGTAGAACATAAACAAAAATAAACATTAAATATAAACATCTGAAAATAGACAATAAAGCCAAAGTAAAAAGTTAATTATATGCATAGATAAAACTATGTAGACTACCAGTCAAATAAACACTATAACGGGCCAAATTACAGCTAACCACATTTAAAAGTAGGATATCATTTATTATTTTAAATGAATAAAAATGAAGTCATGAAGTTATGAGTGTTGACATGTGTATTTATTGACATGATTACCTTGATCACCATTTCAAAAGTGAAAACCCCAGTGAAAGCATAGTCCAGATATTTGAGCACCTGCAAAGAAAACTCAATCAGTGCCGAAACAGATAACTCTTTTCCTGTAAATAAACAACTGCAATCACACAATATGTGAGTATTTCTTCAGAATATTACCCACCTCCACTGGCGCTAAAATTAAATAATAAAATGTTCCGTATATGCTGTGAATAGACACTGAATAGAGAAGAAACACGTTTCTTAAAGGATGCATGGTGGTGTTTGTAAAATATGTATACTCTTGTTTTAAAGGGAGGCGTGTGGTGCAGTGGATAGAGCCTTGGTCTGGGGATCAGATGGTCACAGAATCAAACCCCACTACAGTCAACATGTCGTTGTGTCCCTGAGACACTTCACCCCAAATTGCTCCTGTGGGGATTGCCCACAGTATTGAGTTTGTAAGTCGCTTTGGATAAAAGCGTCTAACAAATGACATGTTTTAAGAAATAAATCTTACTCAATTTTAGAAAAACCTTTTTAATGGAAAATCACCAACTAACATCAGAAAACAGAACACTTTTGAGCATTTCTGGCTTATTTTGTAACGTACTGATACTGGTAAATGTAGTTCAAAATAAGAATTCCCAGATTATTACATGATCTGACTAGCTAAATATCCCTTCTTATTTCAAGACATCTTACCAAGCACATTTTCACTTGTTCTATTGGCCTTGTTATTATATTATTTTACTTGATCTTGGAGCAGCATTTTTTCCAGTGAGGCTAAAATATATGTGTTTATGTGTGAAGTACGTGTAGACTGTGACTCACATTGTTGCGCGGGGCGTTGGTCCAGACCGGGTCCTCTGCTGCCAGAGCGATACTGCTCATAGAAATCACAACCAGGATGCTCATCTCAAAATATCGCAGAGTCACGATGTAGTGACATAACCGCCTCACCCTGAGGACAGACAGGTGGCCACATGAGAGCAGTGGACACACACATAGAATAGCTTCTATCTCCTCAGTTTGGTGCTTCAACACACTTCAAATCAGAATCCAGTTTATTGCCACACATACAAGGAATGTGCTTTGGGGTCTGTTGGTGCAGACATAAACAAAGTTCTATGCGTAGTTGAAAAATAGAAAGATAATACAAATAACTATTTTTAATATACTATTTAGCAATAACATAGAATAAAGGAAAGTATTTGCACAAAAAAGGAATTTAATCTATAAAAAAATAACCTAAAAAGCTAAAAAAAACATACAAACTTAGGACAACGAATATGTGTGGCTTTTTACACTTGTACACATGATAAAACAGTTCACAAAGTGACACAGGAAGCCTGAGACGCAAGATCAAAGACATAACTAAGTCCACACTACAACCTGATGTATGTATTGTTTTATTCTCAGAGTTATGATACTCGGATGGTGGATGGTTGAGCTCTATGAGTTCTGACTTTACGGACTCGGTGAAGCGACTTCCCCATGTTGTTAACAATTGACCTAAGTTTAGTGAGAAAACCTTGTGCTCAGCCTCCCTTCTCCATATTGGACTATTTTGGCCTTCTTGCACCTTAGCTGTGTGTCATGAGTATGGTCTTCTGACAAACTTATGACTATGGAAAAATACATTTATTTAGATAGTAATAATAATACATTTAATTTATATAGCACTTCTCATCTGCCAAGACACATCTCGAAGTGCTTATAGTGGTATAAATAAGGCAACAGTTAACCATCATGTAATAAATAGACTGCATGCCTTTTCAGCAGAAATCCTGGAAGAAAAAATATGAATAAATATAAATGATACACAAATCAAGCTGTAAAATACACTATGAAGAAATACCAGGACATATGCAAAATGCCAACACAAGATTATGTGAAGAAAACATGAAGTAAGTGTTTCATTCTAACCAGTGAGTATGCATCTAATGGTGATATAAAGGCTAAGTAGAAGCCACAGCCATGCCTGTAATCTGTGGATATGTGGATATAAATATATACATAAATTATTCATACAAAGTGTTGCAGCCATACTCTGACCTCTTAAATGTATCTGATAAGCACACAAGTCCAAGACAGAGTATTAGGGCCTTGGTAGGTAAAACTGATTTTACAGAAAGGGGTAATATTCCAGGAGAAATATCAATAACAAGGAATGCCACATGTTAGCCAGGAGGTCTAACAGTATGCAACATTGATATATTCTTTATCTGTTCATTGTATCTTATATCCAGATGTTCTAATGAGTATGTTGCTTTCTTATGAAAAGCACAAATATCTCTTTAAATCCTGGAAGCTTTAGAGGCCCTGACACACCAGGCCGAAATCGGCCGTGTTCGTTAGTCGGACGACGAAGCGTGCCCTGTTGCCCAAACTCAATTTGGTGTGTTCCGCACCGTCGGCTGTGACAAGCAAAATTGTTACCAAATATCTGTCACTTGCAATAATTTCCTCATTGAATTTAAATAAATAGAGTACCAAGCAACTTTTAGAAACATCATACCCAATTATTAGACGTATACTGTATTCCTTACATATCATTTCCCAAAATACAATCATTTTCTGACATTGGCAAAAAATATGAGAATGGTCAGCATCATAAGAACCACATTCTCGCCAACACTTCTGTCGACTGTGCATCTGTTTACTTTTCACCTTTGGTGTAATGAAGAAACAAATCAGATTATTTCGCAAACTAGTGGATTAATGATGGGTCCTCCACATATCATGCCAATATTTATCTGATATTTGTATATGGAGTTATTCCTCCCATTTAACCTTGATATATTTGGTTGAGTGTTTGTCATTTTTGATAAATCCTTGATATAATGCCAAAATGATTCTTATGCTGCGTTCACACCGGACGCGATGCGAATATTCACTTCACTCTAATCGCTCGAGTTTCACCGCGGGTGCCAGCTGTGTTTACTCGCATCATTCAAACAAGACGCGCTGGCTCGGGAGCTACAACTACAACAAAATGAACATATTTGACTGTGATTAAATTGTAATACACGTTTCTAAATGATGCCGAAGTAACAACATACTGATACCGGTTAGTAAAAACCATGAATTAATGCTTGACAAGTCTGCAGACAAGACGGCGGGCGAAAAACCTTTTAAAATGCTTGTTTTCTGAATGGAGATTGGATTGACCAGGCTAAGCTAACGGCAGGCTGAGATCCTCACCGCTGATTGGCTTCCGCGAGAACGCATCACGTGAATTTGACGCTCAAGTTGAAAAAATTGAACTCTCGCGTTTGAAGCGGCACCGTTCAATCGCCTCAATCGCGTGATTCACGCCACGTCCACCGCTTCATGCTCGTCATTGGAACGAATTCGCGTCCGTCCGCGTCTCTGCATTGACTTTACATGTAATCGTGCCGCCCCCAAACATTGCATCGCGTCCGGTGTGAACGCAGCATTATGTTACTTTCCTGATATGTTTTATGTATTTATATATATTTGGATTAAAAAAAAGCGTCTAACAAGTAACATGTGATATATTTCGATAATATTATTCAACTCCTTGGAAGAATCTGATCTGATTTCCTTCTTGTAATAGTCCCTTAGCTGAAGGTATCTATAGAGTTCATGTGTTCCCAATTTGTATTGTCTTCTCAAATCATCAAACCTCTCCAGCTACCCTTCCTTAACCAAAACACACCAAGCTGTTATTCCTTTTGCTACCCATTGTTTAAAACCTTGATCATATTTTGCAGGCTTGAAGTTTCCACCATAAGCTACCCATTTTATTATATTTGCATCATCTTGAATGTTATATATTTTCAGTACTTTAAACCACAGATCCAATTTGTGTACTGTTATTGGACCCATATTAGTTTTGAGTTCCTTATACAATTTATAATCCCCAATCATACTTGAATTGGAATTTGGTTTACTTCATTTTCCATATCCTTCCATTTGGCTCTACATTTCCGATTTACAGCAACAGTAAATAAGTCTTAGCTGAGCAGCATAGTAGTACTCCATCAATTTTGGCAAACCCATACCGCCTCTTTCTTTGGGTAGCTGGAGAGTTTTGTACCTAACCCTTGGCCTCTTTCCCCCCCAAACAAATCTGGATATTATTCTATCCCAATTCATAAATTGACCTTGGGGGACCTCTACTGGTAAAGATTGGAATAGATAGAAAAATGTAGGTAGAACATTTAGTTTAACTATTTCAATTCTTGAGTTTAGGTCGAGTGGTAAGGCCCTGACACACCAGGCCAAAATCAGCCGTTTTCTTTTGTCGGACAACGAAGCGTGCCCTGTCGCCCAAACTCAATTTGGTGTGTCCTGCACCGTCGGCCGTGACACGCCTTATTTGGCCTTTCATGGCCGACGCACGGCAGATTCAACATGTTGAATCGGCCGTGCGTCGGCCACAGGCCGTCGGACAAAGAAATCACTCTGATTGGCTGTTCAGCTAGCGAATCAGTGCATGAGAAGCAAAACGGTTGCTTGAGAATGTCTTCCACAAGCAACACTCCAATGGCTGATAGCTCCAGTACCACACGAAACATGTTTTCGATGGACGAGAGTGAAAATGGAACGCACACGCTATTTCTTGTTTGTTTAGATCACGCAGTCTGTTCTTCTTCTCTGTCTTCCGGTTGTTGCCTCTTTTGAATGACGAATACACACTATCGCCGCCCGCTGGTAAGGAGAGTTATTGCCACTCACGCATGCGCAGTTCGTACGTGCTCGGCTGATGTCTTTGCTGTGTGTTCCAGTGCGACACATGGACAAGACGCAGGAGAACACGGTGATGCAACAGTCAGCGTCGGCGAGTTCTCTGGTGACTGCTTGGTGTGTCAGGGCCTTAATGAGATGTCTGTGCTAAAATCACCAAGTTGTTCTTATCGCTGCATCTGACAGCAATATAATTTGATTAGGTAATCTACTGGATTTTATTGTTTTAAAGTTGTTTTTCCCTTTCAAATATATGTTTTATTTTTGGGGAATATTAGCCCCCTTCTTCATACATATTACACAATCTCTGTGGTGTAACTCCTGTAGCATGTAGGAGGTCCTACAGAAGGGAAAGAAAAAGATGGAGGATGAGGAGGTGACTCACGGGTTGGTCTGTCCAAAGATGAACATAGAACTGTAAGGCAGGATGGGTTTGGGTCCACTTGGACCCAGCTCCGCCAGGGTCTTATCAGTCATGGGCATGGTCTCACAGTCCATACTGTTCACTGAAAACACACACAGTTTACAACAATGCAGGCAGGGTCATCACCGTCACGTCTGACTGTCTGTCTTCATCTAACAGGTAATCCCCCTACTCAATTTGGAGATGTGATTTAAGTATTGACATGTCAGAGTGGCATTGAACAGTCATCAACATTCTATACATCTAATTGATTGTCCTCAAAACCCCATGGGAGGGTAAACTAGATATATTGTTCAAACATCGGACACAATGAAATAATCTGCAGTCAAAATGTAACCAACATGTGTTCTGATTGGTCCCTGTAACAACTATTGTCTGGAAGAATGTATACATTGACATAACGGAAGAATGTACTTAAATGAAATGTATTATGTCAACAGATTTCACATTACTATATCAGGTTAGTTGAAAGCAATAATATTACGTTTAAATAAAAAAATATTAGGTTCAACTTAATATTATTGCTTTCCACTAACCTAATACAGTTGTGTGAAATCTGTTGACATAATATATTTAATTAAAGGTCCCATGTCATGCTTTTCCGGTTATTACCCGTCCCCTTGTGTGTTATGAAGGTTTGTATGCATGTAAACGGTCTGCACAGAGTCAAAAACCCTCAAAGTACACCCTGTAGCGAGTAAAACTCTAACACAGAAAATACCTCCCCAAAACGCCTCGTTGGAGATTTCTCATTTTCCATTGTTTACTTCTTGGGCACTCTGACGTGGGGATACCAGAGGCCACACCCTCTGCCAGCCTTTCACGAAACAAAGCTTCCCAAACCTTTCAGGATGCATGCCGGATATGTACAGCGTAGGGCACTGAAGAACGATGCTGTTCCTACTTTGTTTGGACCAGCGGGAGATTCGGGTACACAACCTGTAAGTATTCAATGTTGTTTGTGTATTTATGATGTTTAAAACAAACAAGGTATCTACCACGACTGTTTAAATGGGTAAACGTTTTTCGGGCTACTACGTTGGGATCGCAGAGAAATTCTCTCCGCAGACCCATGCTCACAGCGTTATAAACCTTTTTCTTACTCAATATCAAGCCACACTTATTGTTTTTACTTCGGCTGTGAGTGTTTGTGTGTGCTCAGGATGAGTTTCGCTTATTCTCCTGTATCACCGACACGGAAGCCTGTCTGCTCCTCGCAGCAGCTCACAGCAGCTGCGAGCAGCAACGAGCCTCTCAACTTCGCGACCAATCGGAGCACACTGGGCTCACAGGGAGGGGGGGGGGGCAGGAGCTCCAACAAGCCGTTTAGGACAGAGAGTGAATACCGGTGAATACACATGCTATACAGAGATGCTGTATGAGAAACCAATGTGAGTTTGGAAAATTGCACAGTATAAATCTATTTTAGTATACCTCAACAATGGAATTATGATCAGTAGAAATGGCCATGACATGGGACCTTTAAAGTCAATGTTTCAGTTTTTTCAGTGTGTACAATCTCATAAAAAAGCCTCTGTCCTGCTGGATTTGGGGCCTTACATCCATTCTAGGGCCCAGATTTCTCAGAGCCAACCTTAGTCTGCAACATTCCCACTTCCAGTACAGACGGATCCTTTTTTTGCACGTCCCGACCATCTTTATTACTTGACTGAAACATTTATTTCCTGTAAGTAACCAAACCATTTATACTCTGCCATATTATTTGGACACACTGTAAAGTTTGTCATCCTGCTTTCTTACAGTAAACAGCGTATCTTTACTCAGCACAACTTTGTGTTTCCATGAAAAGAGAACTTGGATGTAATGCTGCTGTGGAAGTGGCATAGTGAACTGACTCTGTATGAGGGTGGTGTCTCCAGGGGGGGAGGTGATAGTCACAGGAGGAACATGGATGGAGGATTGGCAGGTTCTTCTGACGTTCCTCTGGTTGTCTGATTCCTCTGGTCGGTCGCTCGGCCAGTCAGTCCCCCCAGAGCCCTGCTGGGGGGAGAGAGGGAGGGACTCCCCCTCTGAGTCAGCAAACCTGTCCCCAGGAAAGAGAAAGGGTCTTTGATATCAATTCTGTACATATTTTCAGAACATTTCACACTGACGGCACGAGGGTAACGATGATTGTGTTAGTAGCTCTTAATCTGACCTAACACAGGATTATTTAAACCAAGAAAAACAACATTTTATTTTGTTTGTAAATTAAATCTTTATTTTCACATTGTACATGGCAATTACATGCTTGTTACTACAACATTACAATCATTTAACAATTGTTACATTGTTTTTTTGTTGGTGGTGCTTCCTTACCCCAATTCCTAGTGATAGCTTTCTTGCTGGATGTTAGCAAAATTGTTACCAAATATCTGTCACTTGCAATAATTTCCTCATTGAATTTACATAAATAGAGTACCAAGCAACTTTTAGAAACATCATACCCAATTATTAGACGTATTCCTTACATATAATTTCCCAAAATACAATTATTTATCTGACATTGGCAAAACATATGAGAATGGTCAGCATCATAAGAACCACATTCTCGCCAACACTTCTGTCGACTGTGCATCTGTTTACTTTTCACCTTTGGTGTAATGAAGAAACAAATCAGATTCTTCCACGAGAATTCCCTCCAGGTTCGCAAACTAGTGGATTAATGATCATGCCAATCTTCATCTGATATTTATATACGGAGTTATTCCTCCCATTTAACCTTGATATATTTGGTTGAGTGTTTGTCATTTTTGATAAATCCTTGATATAATGCCAAAATGATTCTTATGTTACTTTCCTGATATGTTTTAGTATATATTTGGATAATATTATTCAACTCCTTGGAAGAATCTGATCTGATTTCCTTCTTGTAATAGTCCCTTAGCTGAAGGTATCTATAGAGTTCATGTGTTCCCAATTTGTATTGTCTTCTCAAATCATCAAACCTCTCCAGCTACCCTTCCTTAACCAAAACACACCAAGCTGTTATTCCTTTTGCTACCCATTGTTTAAAACCTTGATCATATTTTGCAGGCTTGAAGTTTCCACCATAAGCTACCCATTTTATTATATTTGCATCATCTTGAATCTTATATATTTTCAGTACTTTAAATCACAGATCCAATTTGTGTACTGTTAATGGACCCATATTAGTTTTGAGTTCCTTATACAATTTATAATCCCCAATCATACTTGAATTGGAATTTGGTTTACTTCATTTTCCATATCCTTCCATTTGGCTCTACATTTCCGATTTACAGCAACAGTAAATAGGTCTTAGCTGAGCAGCATAGTAGTACTCCATCAATTTTGGCAAACCCATACCGCCTCTTTCTTTGGGTAGCTGGAGAGTTTTGTACCTAACCCTTGGCCTCTTGCCCCCCCCCAAACAAATCTGGATATAATTCTATCCCAATTTATAAATTGACCTTGGGGGACCTCTACTGGTAAAGATTGGAATAGATAGAAAAATGTAGGTAGAACATTTAGTTTAACTATTTCAATTCTTGAGTTTAGGTCGAGTGGTAAGGTAGACCACCTTGATACATATTTTTGTATGTCTTGGTTTAAATTGTCGTAATTCGCTCTATACAAATCAGAGATGTTTTTACTGATCATCACACCCAAATATTTAATTGACTTTAGATTCCAGTTACGGTCATATGATTCCTGGATCGCTTTTGGTGGGATATAATTAAATGCTAAAACCTGGGTTTTTGAAATATTAATCTTATACCCTGAGAGCTTCATCAAACTGGGGAGTGTTGTGTTTGGTTGTTCGAGGAAAGCAATAATGTCATCAACAAAAAGCCCAATTTTATGTTCTGCATCTCCAATTGTGACCCCTTTAAGTACTTTATTTTGTCGGACTGCTTGAGCTAAAGGCTCGATTAAAAACGCGAAAACAATAGGTGAAAGACAGCATCCTTGTCTAGTCGATCTCTGCAACCATATTTTCTCCGTCAGATTTCCATACATTTTTATTCTAGCAGAAGGTTTTTTGGTATAAAAATCATGCTGGTATTAATCAATTGTACTGATTTATTATTGAATCTGAATCGTTCCAATACCTTACAAATAAATTCCCAATTAACACAATCGAATGTCTTTTCAGCATTAACGCTTATCAATACTGTGCTTTGCTTCCCTCTTCGTGCCTGGTCAATTATTAGTTGAGTTTTTCGGATATTGTCTTGGGTTTGGCGACCTGGTATGAATCCAGTTTGGTCTTCGTCTATTAATTCTGCTGTGAAGGTGTTTATTCTTTTGGCAATAATTGACGTATATCATTTATAATCTATGTTTAGCACTGAGATCGGTCTATAATTTTCACATCTATCCTTCTCTTTACCTGGTTTCGGGATGACTGAAATAATTGCTTCTGCCAATGTTGGTGGCAATTTATTTTTCAAATCAAATCAAGTTTTATTTATATTGCACATTTATAAACGATTTTTGGTCGAGCCAAAGTGCTGTACATAAAATAAAAATAGCCTACAGTAGAGACACTTTACAGCAAATACAACCGCACAGATTGTTCAGAATATCAGTATGAGAAAAACGACACCCTCTGTCCTTAGACCCTCAAAAACTTCCAGAGAAAAACCCACAGTTTAAAGGGAAAAATGGGAGAAACCTCAGGGAGAGCAACAGAGGAGGGATCCCTCTCCCAGGACGGACAGACGTGCAATAGATGCCGTGTGTACATCGAAGAGATACATTTATTTTTCTTTGAGAGTCCAATTAAAAGAGGTTCAGTGCAGGCATCAAATAATCTCTTAACACCTTGTACCATTCAGAAGGGTAGCAGGTGGTTGTAGTTTTTCATAGAACCTCTGAAATACTCTTTCTATGTATTCTGGTTCATATATTACTTCATTGGTACATGGATCCCTAATTTTCATATATTATATGAAATATTATAATATTTCATTTATCTTGGCTTTGGTTTCCTTGATATGTTTATATACTTTTTGGTCGTTTGTCTTTTGGTATTGCTGCTCCAATTCTCTTAATCCTATAGAATGGTTCTGACATGCTTCTCTTCTCGAACGACCGCTTTGAGGGCATCCCAAACAATGTGCGGGTCAACTTCTTTATTGTTATTTTCTTCCATATATTGCCTAATATATTTTTTCAGTTCCTCCACCAACCTATTTAGAATTCCCACATTAAGATTGTTTGTCTTTTTCTGGCATTTAAGTGTATTTTTTTTAAAACAGGGTGTTATGGTCCGATATATCTGCACCTCCTATCTTACATTCAGCTACCCTATATCTATCACCCATATTCATAAAAAAGTAATCTATCCTTGAGTGTACATTGTGTGTTGCCGAATAAAGGGTGAAGTCTTTTTCATATGGAGTTGTCTCAACCCTTTTGAAAAATACTTCATAGAATGATAGAAAAAGTCTATCATCCCAATAGAGTGGTGCAGGGATGACGTATTTACCCGGAAGTAAGCTGCGCATGGGTTCCCTCGACACAAAAGCAATGGGATTTCTCCATAGGATTTTGGAAAATAGCTCAAAATAAGGTCTATGGAAAACGAAGCTGTTAGATAACAACCTCCATCTCAACGTCAGCAAAACCAAGGAGCTGATTGGGGATTACAGGAAGCAGCAGAGAGAGGGACACGCCCCCATCGCCATCAATGGGACTACGGTGGAGAGAGTCAGCAGCTTCAGGTTCCTCGGTGTCCACATCACTGAGGACCTGACATGGACTCATCACACCAACACCATCACCAAAACAGCTCCACAGCGGCTCTCCTTCCTCTGCTGAGGAGGTTCAACATTCTGCAATTTCTACAGGTGCACCATAGAGAGCATCCTGACCTTCTACAGGTGCACCATAGAGAGCATCCTGACCTCCTACAGGTGCACCATAGAGAGGATCCTGACCTCCTACAGGTGCACCATAGAGAGGATCCTGACCTTCTACAGGTGCACCACAGAGAGCATCCTGACTGGCTGCATCATGTCCTGGTACGGCAGCTGCATCGCCCTCAATCGTAAGGCTTTACAGAGGGTGGTGAAACCCGCGCAGCATATCACCAGGACGGAGCTATTTTCCAAAATTCTATGGAGAAATCTCATTCACTCTGCGACGAAGGAACGGGTAGTGGTAAAATGCTAACTTACTTCCGGGTTTTAGGACTCGTCACTGCACCACTCTATTTCTTCCAAAGATGTTTTTACACATTTTGACAGCTGTGTTTTGCTTCCCTTTGAACTGGTTGTATCTAGACTGTGGTTTAGGACAGGGGTTCCCAAACTTTGCCATGCCAAGGACCACATATAGCATTATCCTCTGGCGGGGACCCCCCTGTTGCAATTTTTTTAAATGATGTGTACAAGTGCCTCCCGATGGAACATGCCGTGCGTTGCCACTACATTTGGGGTCTTCTGCCTGATAAAAGCTGTCACTCCGCTTTTTTTGCCTGTCATAGCCCCACCTGAACACACACCCAAACAACGAGACCAGTCAAGTCCATTTGAGATGATGTATTCATCTAAAACTTGGAAAATGTCTCTTCATGTGGTCCTACCTTCCAGTGCTTTGCAAAATAATATTTTCTCAACAAAGTTGTCTTCTGAAATAAATCTGATGTATGCTAGCAATTCTGCGACATTTGCTACATCCGTGCTCATCCAGCTGCAGAGCGAAATATTCACTATCTCTCACTTGCTCCAAAAGCTGGGCAGATACTCAGCTCGATTCTGATTGGCTTGAAGGGCGGTCGTGTGATTCAAAAACAAAAAATATTAAAAGATTGGCATCAAAGGACACATAGATTGATAGATATGCAGTTATTAATAACATCTAAAAAAAAAATGTAAACTTAAAAAAAAAAAAATCCTGTTTCCCTCAAACCTTGCGTGACCCCCCTGGTGCCCCCTGGCGGCCCCCCGGGGGGTCGGGGTCCCCACTTTGAAAAACACTGGTTTAGGACTACGATGAAGTCCCCCCCGCAAATTCAAATCCCTTCTGTTTCTGTTGCTATAACATTAAACAAGGATTTAAAGAAGTTCTTATTGC